CTTGCTTCATCAACTTCTCACCCTCAGATTCTATTCCGTAGCAGAATACGCTTCCATTTAAAGTCTAAATCCATGCAATTCGATATTTCGACCAGTATGATTTGGAACCACAATTTCAGGTTCGTCATAAGGCACGATGTTCCCTGAGGAAAACTAACAGTAAAGTTAGATAATACTAATACTTAATCTTTACTCTGAATAATACCTCTTCGTTCGCGCACAACTACCAACTTAACAAGTCGAAGATCAGAACAATAAGAAATTTCCATAAGAGGTTGATTGCATCCACATGTTCAAGTAATAACGCATATTCGCATTTTATCTATCCACCCTCAGTATCGCCACCTGTGCTAAATCACAAAACAATAATTTCATCTTTCGCCAGCCTGACGCGTAAATGGTTTTAGACCGGAGTGCGAAGTGAGACTAGCTTTTACATTGCCAGACAGGAAGATTTCTGTAGAGAATGAAGCAAGATCATAACGTGAAAGATTTGAAGGTGTCATGAGCATAAGTTGTTGTGCCCGCACAGTCCAGACATATCGCATCTTTCGCTGTGGCAGTCTCAACATCCGACTACCGACAGAGGATAGGTTAGCAATAAGTACAACAGTGAGAGGACTAGAATGTTAAAGATTATCATCTATTTGCGCTCCCTTTAGTGTAAATATTGTTGGCATCCAACTCATATAGCATTCAATCGCGGTATATTAATACATTATTTGAATGGCGATATCCAGCGAAAGAGAGCTTGATTGGGAGCATAGGAGGAATGGTAATGATACAGCAAGCAACTGAGGCAGAATTCAGATAATTTGATATGTAATCACGTGCCACCCTACCTGTAGCGCTAAAGTTCATGCCACACAATCCTGCAAAAAAATTCCAATGAATAGAAGAAGTACGGTTGAAGGTCCAAATCGACTCCAGCGTAGACAATAAAAGAACGCAAAACTCCAGATGCTCAACTGCCTGATTGGGGAAATAAACGTAGCACAAAGTTAATACGTATTCGAGTCGTCTATTAAGAATGCCCCTCTTTTCTTAGTTACATGAGCCTTGTTGTTGTCTCCAAAAATTATAATTAGCCATTCTGCAAGATACCATGAGACGATTTATTTACAAAAAATAATAATAATGAACGGGTCTTTATACTTTATTTGAGCAGAGGTTTTACTGCCCATAAATTTAATAGAGTAATTTCCCTCATAATTAGAAAAACAAGCCTTTTTGCTTCCAACAAATAATGACGACCCTATTATGAACAACTGTTGGAACATGTCTGGTGCTTTAGCAAGATAACGATCCTAAGCACACTAGTCGTAATTTCTTCAAGTTAACATGCCTGAGGTCATTGACTGGCCATGCAATAGTAATAGTCCAGACCTCAATCCTATAGAAATTTATGGGGTATTGTTAAAAGAAATGACAACCAAAAAATTTACGGTCAAGGAATGTGATCATATTCCAGATACAGTCAACCCTCTTTATAGTCACCCCCCTCTATAAGCACATCATAAAAAAAACCTTTTTATAAGCACAACCAATTACTATTGAACTTATAGGAAAAACCCTCTATATAGTCACAACCTCTTTATAAGCACATTTCGACAAAAGTTGCATTGTTCCCTACAGCGTGACTATAGAGAGGGTTGACTGTACTATTATAAAAAATTTAATAAGATCAATGAAAAGGCAATTATTGAGAAAGATGGTGAACGAATTTATTATTTTATTTTTTATTTTAATAAAAATGGCAAGTTTCACAGTTTAAATGAGCTATCAATGAAAATGGTTTGCATTGGTTATTACGAATTACGGTGGGCAAGTTTTTTCTTCCCATACTGTAAATTAATTGACATTCTATCAGGAATAGAATTCCATGCCTCGACCATAAACCGGTTGATTTCCCACATACTTTTTGATTAAATGCCATAAATTTTCTATCCAAACTATTGACAGGCCAGTAGCTGTGTATTCAAACACGATCTGACGGCAAAAAGTTAGGTTGGGCAAAAAAAAAAGTTGAAACTATCTTGACTATGTGAAAACGACCGTAATTCATATTGCATATTATATATGCGTTCAAAGTGCTTTTTTTTTTCTTGATTAATACAGCGTAACGCGCAAATAAAGACGCTCATAATACAGTCTCCGGCGAAAGTAATGACAATCAATCTTTTTTAATTTACACAAATGTTTGCATAATAAATTGCAGAATAAAAAAATTTTATTTAAAGATAAAAAAATACTACAACTTTTATTAGTAAGTCAATATTTGGTGTGACCTCCTTCAGCATCAATGCATGCTTCTGATGCTGTTAACTATTACATTCTTGTTCATATTATCCCACTCCTACTGTTGACCTTTTTTTCTTTAAACCAGCCCATATATTTTCAATCGGGTTGGGGTCTAGACTGTATGAAGGCCAAGGAAAAACCCGTTTAGGAAAAAGAGTCACCCTAAAAATCACGTGAGGTATTGGAAGATGTTGAGATGTTGTATGATGTGATAAAATATGCCCCTTTTGGTATCAAGGGTTTCCACAAACATATGCATCCCGACTTTTTCTTTGATGCTAATTGCACTTTAAATGAGCGTTTTACCATAGGAGTGACAGGATTTTATTACGTGACCACGCAAGCAGAGTATTACGAAACATCTGAATTGTGTTCATCGGAAAAACCGACTTTCTTCCAATTGTAATTATGTGATCACGTGTCCAATATAATGATTATTTTTCGCCTGCAGTGGACTCTTCTGGAAAGAACGGTAGTAAAACCGAGATTCTCGAGTTTTGGATCTTTTTCTTTGAGCAAAACCCTCATCTCAGACGCCATATTGAAATAGTTACTTTTTATGAGCATATCCATTTGACGCCGCTTATCAGAAGTCAATTTTCTTGGGCGTCCCGAACGGCGTCCAATTGTGACTTTGCCAGTTTTTGCAATAAACAGACATATCGTTCACATGAGCGTAATGGAATGCCAGTTCGTTGGGAAATTTCTCTGGCGTTGCGAACTTTTTTTTCCAGGTTACGGCGTTACGATTTTTTTGTAACGGGCCTGGTGACATTTTGGACGCAAAATTTACGAAAGCAGGAATAAACAAGACGCTTTATAGTTTGTTACCTTCAAATTTGGTATGGTGTAGGACATCTACAGCCCCAAAATAAAATACCCAACTTTCAAAACCCCATACTAAGGCTTTATATTAGAAGATTTAGAGAAAAACTAATCCGTAAGAATGATGGAGCAGACGAAGCAGAATAAAAGCTACGGTT